TCCCCAGCCTACCACCAGGCCTGCCCCTTGCTCTTCCTGGGGCTGAAGGGATCGTTTCCACAGCGCTCCCAGCCACTGCTAGCCTAGTGCCGCAGAGATCAGGATCCCTGTATGACCCCAGGGCTTCACCCTGCACGTTTGTAAAGAAATAGATTTAAAAAATGTAGCTAAAATAGTGTCCCATCGATTCCTTTCCCCTGGGAGCAGCACAGACTCCTCGGATCCAAACAGCTTGGCCGTGATACAGACGGTGAACATCGAACCCAGTGGACCCACCATCCCTGCTCTGCTGTGCTGCTGGACCATACAGTGTCTTTCCTCTTTGTTCTTCAGAAGCGCTTTCCTCCCAGCACAGCCCCATTTGGCTGCTGGGTGCCAGGGCACTTGTCTCCAGCTCCATTGGGGCTGCCTCTTTGCCCTAGGGTCAAATGCGGCAACTCAAAGGGTGTGTGTGGCATCATGCTCCAGCATTTGGAGCCAGGAAATGAGATGTCATTAAGAATCACAAGAAATGGGAGAGAGCAACCCATTTTAGTACGTGGGCAGCAGTGGCACGCAAAACTGGGCTAAAACCTGCTAAAGAGATTAAGGGGCATGTTTCCAGGGAGCAGAGGCTCCTTGCATGCCTCATTGTGAGCCTGGATTTGCCCAGTTAACCTAGATTTACGCCAGTGTGAGAGCAGAATTTGGCTCTGTGTGTCAGTGGCTCTATTGCTGCTGCTGCTGTGTTTGTCTGCAAGGTGGGTTCCACCAGGACTTACGATATCTCACCAGATAATCACTTCCTGGGTAACATTCACAGCTGAGCAGATGTTCCCAAACCAGCTGGTTTTCCTCCTCAGCAGAATGAGCCCTGATGCTACAGTAGGACAGTGAAGGTTTCAGGCTTTTGGAATGGAGGGTCCCAGACTGGGTGTTGGACAAAGAGACTTTGCAGAGTGGGAGGGTTGGATCCTCTGCTGTGTGGCATGGGAGGTGCGGGCCTGGAAGTGGATTTCACCACCCTTGTGCCTCCGGGATTCTAGCTTGCAAAGGAGGGCGGCCAACACCAGTCCTAGATTGCGCCTGCACTGGGAGTATTCCCATCCTGGAACCAAAGCCACGAAGGTGAGGTCAGATGAAGGGATTGGAATTGGTACCCCTTCCCTCAAAATTCAGAGGGATCCAGCTTTGAGGCTCTGGTTTTGACCCATCTCTGCTCCTGATTCTGTTTATACCAACTCTGGTTTGATACTAGTGTAACTCCATTGACTTCATGGCAGTGTTACCAACTCTTGTGAGTTGGCGTGTTTTCTTAAAGTCCCAGCTCCTGAAGTCACGCGAATACGAGAGAATCTCAGCCTTCATTTAAAAAAAAAAAGTAAGTTTCTATCATCATAAATTCTGCATATATGTTAAAGGGTCTTAGGGACAAAATACACCCTTGTCTCACCCGCACCCGATGGAAAACCTGCTGGTTGCACTTTGGCCTGTTGGTGGTAGAAACTTGTGATGAGTTCAATGAGAGGCTTTGGAATCCCCAGGTCTGCCAGTGTCCTCCAAAGATGGAGGTATTGGACACTAGCTAACACTTCTGGGGAGTCAATGAAACACATGACTAATGGATGAATGCACTCTGCATTTTTCAGTGATGTGACAGATATTTGCGATTTGGTCACATGTGTCTCGGCCTTCTCTGGAACCAACTTGTTGGGGTGGTAGTTTTGCTCCTATCCTTCATTTCATGCGACGCTGGATTACACAGAGCAGAGCTTTGCTTGCATGCGATGTGAGGATGGTACGATAGTTACTACACTCTGTTATTTCTCCCTAAAGGCAGAAAAAGTCCCTTCAGCCAGTCCTCTGGCCAATCGCTAGTCACCCCTACATCATTACAAATTTACCATGTAAGATCAATAACTGAGGATGGCTCGCTCAGCTGTGGCCTCCCTTAAGAAAGTATGGAAAAACTGTTACATCTCAAAATGTGGGAAGGTGCAACTGGCGAAAAGCCTAATTTTTTCAGAGCAATTTCTGGATGTGAATCATGGGAAGTTAGTGCTGCTGGGCAGATGTCTCTATTTTATAGGGACAGTCCCGATATTTGGGGCTTTTTCTTATATAGGCACCTATTACCCCCCAACTCTATCCTGATTTTTCACACTTGCTGTCTGGTCACCCTATGGCCAGAAGACAATTGAAGCTTTTGAAATGTGGTACTGGCAAAGACTTTTCATAGAATCATAGAATGTCAGAGTTGGAAGGGACCTCAGGAAGTCATCTAGTCCAACCCCCTGCTCAAAGCAGGACCAATCCCCAGACAGATTTTTGCCCCAGATCCCTAAATGGCCCCCTCAAGTATTGAACTCACAACCCTGGGTTTAGCAGGCCAATGCTCAAACCACTGAACTATCCCTCCCTTTTGGATGGAAAAAAAAAAAGGGCAAATACCTATGTTGGAAATATTATTGGAGAGAAGCAGACCCAGATGTCAGAAATCAACGGATGTAAACTTATGTACTGTGGTCACCTGAGGCATAGAGATGGGAATAATCTTGAGAAAATTATTATGGAAAGAATGGTGGAAGGTCATTGTAGTAGGGGACGACCAGGAGGTGATGGATGGATGGCGTGCAGAAGATCAGTGGAAGGTCAGCTACTGAGCACTCAAAGCTAGCGATGGATCGGGAAGGCTTTTAAAAATGTAATAAATGGATGTACTAGCGTAGGTGTCTTTCCCTTGTGGCTGAGGAGAAAAGCTGGAAAACATGATCCCTGAAGGCTAAAAAAACAGAAAGTAACTAAAGGATCCCCAAATTATTGTATTTTTAAAACCTCAGGAATTTTAAGCCAATTGCATGGTTTTGGGAGGGCTGGACTCTTGATGCTTGAATAGTTGGGGTTGGCCACACTGACAGAGTTACTCCAGATTCACACTGCTGCACAATCGATTGCCTTTTCTTAAAATGGGGTTCACTCACTTCACTCTGTCCCCCTGGAACAGAGAGCGACTGAGCCCAAAAGTGAATAAGTGATGTGCTTAGATACCATACCATGATTATGATATATGTCTTAGGCTAGCTAGATAGGAGGGGGTGCATGAGGATAGATTGATAGCAAGTCATCCAGTAGGTGGCTCTGTGGGCCAATCAGTAAGGGAATGAACAGAAGGGAGAAAAGAGAAATCACCCCGACAGGGTAAAACTGCATCCTAAACCAGATGCTAATCTGAACAGTCTCAGTGAATATCTGGAGTGACTCCAGATTTACACCTGTGTACATGGGAATATAATAAGGCCCCCACCAGGAAGGCGTTCAGATCCTTAGGAGGTTATGTTTTCCCCAACCACAAGAGCTAGAAACTCTGAAAAATTAAAAATGGAAATTGTCATAGATTCCCATGACTCCAGGAGCTGGGGACTTGGGGCTATGGATGGACAGCACCTAGTGCAAGGAGGATCTGCTCTCGGCGAGGGGTGCACCTGGAGTAGCAACAATATCAAACTGTAGACACTCAGCTCAACGTTAAGCAAGTCTTTATTTTATTTATTGCACTTCAATATTAGACCAAAAATAAACCGTTTCTTTTCTTCCACTGCCAGGCACTAGGGCTTTTAGCAGCCGGGCCCCAGGGGGGCATCCCTTTGCTGATATGCTCCGAGTTGGGATAGGGGATAGTTTATTTTTTTCTGTACATTTATATTTTTCCGAAAAGTGCAAAGTTTTGTTGCTCTTTTTAAAAACAAACAAACAAAGAACAGAGCCGCGGGGCCAGGAGCCGAGGCGCGGCCCGGCTCCCCCTCTCCCTGCAGATGTTCTGAGCTCAGCAAAGAACCAAACACAAACTATGAAGTGTTCCCTTCTGGTGTGCTAGTTCCCTCTCCCCGCGGACCTTCAGGATCTGATATGTATCGAAATGCAAAGCCGGGGAGCTTTGGCCCCACTTTTGGTCCCCGGACTTGTCTCCATCCTATAACAGTCTAAAGTGCCACCTCCCCCACAAAACCAGAGCCATTCTCTTCTGCAGTGGGGGAGTTGTCTAGTGGCTGGGGTGGGGGGAATGGGATTTAGGACGTTTGGGTTGTAATTGTGGCTCTGAGAGGGGAGTGGGGTCTACTGGTTAGATCATGGGGCGGGGAATGGGAGCCAGTATTCCTGGCTTGGGGATGGGGTCTAGTGGTTAGTGCAGGGCAGGGCTGAACGGGAGCAAAACAAAATGGAGCCATTTGTTTCTTTAATGGAAGTGTGCTTGCACTCAAGATCTGCCTCCTTCAACCTCTCCCCTCTGACAGACAGCGCCCCCCTCAGGTAGCACATCCCACCCCTGCCCGGCCGAGCCATCGCACGTCAGCCTCTTCCAAAAACTCAGCATTGACTTTAGTGAGTCTCTCCTGATTTACCCCATCCTACGTCTGGCCTCAGGTCGGGATTTGGGGACTGGACGAGTGCTCCTACCATCCCTGACGAAAAGGCTCCTTGCATATCACTTCCTGATCCAGTCTATCCTATACCATTCACAGAGCGCAGGTCCACAAGCCATCTGTGCTGTTTTCTCCATAGGAGAGGGCTGGTACGAACGGAGGGTGGAGGCGGAGCGGAATGGGATAAAACAGCATGCACCTTAAGAAGGAACTAGATCGTCAAATGAAACATGAATGGGGTGTGCCGTCCCCCCGAGATCTACTGATGCGCTGTATGTACAACATATCCAGGCTCTTATATACAGACTAGAACCTCAACACAATACAGAGAAAGAGTTCTATACACATATATACACTGTGTCTGTGTTGGTGCGGTCAGTTCGGATGCATGTTCGCTTCGCTCTCCAGGCCTTGCTGTGCTGCACAGAGCGCCGTGCGGGAGGTGTGCTCTCTCCTCCTGAACCCGATCGCCCCGGGTTGGGGGATGTGCACTGGCAGAGCCCGGCTCCGACAGGCCACGTGCTGCCCGGCAGCGCCAGAGCCCTCCTTCCTCGTCTTCGAAAGAGCTAAATGCAGCCCGAGGCGCTGGGTCCGGTGACTGTTCTTGATCCTTCTCCCCCTAGGCTCGGAGGGCGGGCGTCTCCGGTGGGCTTAAGGATCGATCCGGAAGGCCAGGAGCTTCTCCGAGTGCTGGTTGTTGAGGGTCCGCAGGTCGGGAAGGCGCAGGAGGAGTTTGGGGAAGAGGGTGGAGTCGTCGGGGTGCTTCTTTGTCACCAGAGTCCGCAGGGCCCGGATGAGGGTCTCCTGAAGGATTTCCACGGCATCCACGTCTGAGATGCCAGAGCGATCTATGAACCAGATGAGCCATGACATTAATACCCAACCTGCTCCAAAAAAAAGCAACCGGTCCCCGCTGCAGGAGAATCTCCCTCCGTGGTGGCAGTATAGGGCATATGACACACACAACAGCTCGTGAACTGCGAGGGGAAGCTTCCTAATGCCCAGATCTCAGCCTGGGGAAGAGTCTCCAGAGGGAAGGGATGGGACGTTTAAAACCAGGCTGGACAAAGTGGTGCCCAGTTAGGTCTTTCCCCACCTCTAACACCCACAGGCAGCGATCCTCCTGTCGAAACACTAGGAAAAGGCTCCCCCGTAAAGCTCTAGCCAAGGGAGCTGCCACAGTCAGTCCTGTTCACTGGGGGGTCTGGAAGGTCCCAGGCAGGCTGAGCTCCATGTGCGTCAGCATGCTGCATGCACTGGGGCGTGGGATCCCCGAGGAGCATGGGGAACTCTCACTCTGTCACTGTCCTTGCCCCCAGGGCCAAGCATAGAGAACAGGCAGCAGAGCATTTAGCAGCGGTCCAGCCTGCCTAATGCAGAACACCTAGCCCGAAACACCGGGGATGGGCTTTGCAGGGGGATTGGAGCTGACGTCACCTGCATGGCTCACGGCTGTGGCTGGGCCAGCCTTCTCCCCACCATGGTCTGCAGAGAGAGAGAGCCGGCCTCAGAGATCCCCCCCGCTGGCCCCGGGGCGCGCACCTACCTGCCGAGACAAGGACGACGGCCATGAAGAGCGCCATCTCCTGGGCATCCAGCCCGAGAGAGCCGAGCTTCTCGCTGAACTCGAACATGGCGTCCAGCAGGCAGCCCATGCCCATGGAGCGCAGGCTGCAGAGCGAGTAGGTCTCGCCGCTCAGGAACGTCACCACCTTCTCCTTGGGGTTGAAGAGGGAGGAGAACCGCACCATCAGCACCTGCGGGAGGGGAGAAGGTCAGAGCTGAGCCTGCAGGGGGCGCTCTGACACAAGCGCCGGGAGGCATCCAGATAATGTCCCCCTGTAGTGGACAGACAGTGTACAGGGTTTAGGAGTCTGGAGGTGTCAGATGAGTTACATAATTATAAACTCAGGTTGCCTGTGATAATAGGGGACTGGACTCATTGACCCAGGAAGCCTTTCCCGTCCTATGTTCCTATGACTCTTAGCTCAGGCAATGATAATCAGAATAGTACTTAGCCCTTACCTAGAGCTCGTCATCAGTAGATCTCAAAGCAAGTCAGGATCCTTATCTCCATCGTACAGATGGGGAAACTGAGGCACGAGGAGGGGAAACAGCTGGTCCTAAGCCCCAGTTCAGTGCTCTAGCCACTAGGTCTTTAGATGCACAGGTACTGGATTCGATCCCCGACCCTGCCCTGGAGTAACTCCCTCCCTCTTGGTTCCCAGTGGGAGTCGAGGGTGCTGCCCAAGTGGGGGCCTGGGTGGAAAACTCAATAGCCTTGGAAGCTCCGAGGCTTGGGATGAGGGTGATCCATGGTAGTAGCGTGGGTCTAGTGCCTGGGCCATGTACATGCAGGCTATTGAAGTTGTATCTCAAGCTGTTTGGGCATGCATGTCCTGGGTCGGATCCCCACAGACGAACTCGCGAAGGGAACTCTGGAGCCGCTAGGACAGCAGTTTATCCCCCACCTGATGTTTCCCACATGAAACACAATGTAACAGAATCTGTGCCCAGCATGTCATGGCCACTTAGACAGCAGGGGCAGAACGCGGCTGAATCCTCCTGCTGCAAAAGCCCGGAGCTAGAGGAGAATCTCCCATGGCTGTTAGCAGTATGGGGACTATGACACACAGGCCGGTAGTTCTGATTCCAGGCAGTAAGGGGCACGCACACACAAAAAGAAGGCTTGCTCCCTCCAGCAGAGAGCAGCAGGGACACACACATAGATTCCAAGGCCAGAAGGGACCATTGTGATCATCTAGTCTGACCTCCTGGATAATCCAGGCCAGAGAACTTCCCCCCAATAATTCCTAGGGCAGATCTTTTAGAGAAACATCCAGTCTTGATTTTAAAATTGCCAGTGATGGAGAATCCACCACGATCCTTGGGGAATCGTTCCAATGGTTAATTACTCCCACCGTTAAAAATGTACACCTGATTTCCAGTTTAAACTTGTCTAGCTTCAACTTCCAGCCATTGGCTGGCATCAGACCTTTCTCTGCGAGACCAAAGCACCCGCTACAAAATATTTGCTCCCCATGTCAGGACTTACTGACTGTAAAAGTTGTGCCGATGGTTAATTACACTCACATAAAAATCTGTGTTTTATTTCAAGTCTTAATTTGTCTAGTTTAGGTCACAGTTTCTGGGTAACTGAGCCAGTGTTTCTCCTCTGGGGTCCCTCCTGGGCACCCACTTTCTGGCTCCCAGACATCACCAGTCTCGGGTGGACCTGCGTTTCTCTCCCTGCTGACCGGGTTTTATGGCCGCCCAGCTCCCTCTGATATCCCCAGCAAGTCAGTGTGTGTCAGCTCAGGGTGAAGGGAACAGACCAGACCCGACACCACCGGGGCCAAAGCTACAGGTGCAGCCCGAGGCCACAGGCTCTAGGCAGGAGGGGCCCAGATTCAGGCTGGCAGGGCATCTGACTGACCTGGAAGGTGCCCGCCTTGAGGAGCATGACCTGGTCCTGCTGGCAGAGCGACTGGAAGCCCGGGATGCTCTTGGCGAACTCCACCACCTCCTTGACGGCGGGCGTGAAGCACTGGGAGAACTCCTCCCACACCTGCTGGCTGCTCTTGCCGTCGCTGCAGTAGGGGCTGGCGTTCAGCGGGCACGCCTGGGTGGGGAGAGCAAGGCGGGTCACCAACGCAGGGAGGGACAAGAGGAGCACCAGCCTCCTAACCAGGGCAGAGTGGGCCTGGATTGGGACCCCAGAATGGAAACACCCTGAAAACTTTGGGGATGGGGGAATCAGATCCAGAATAGGGGGGGGCTCAGAGCCAGATTTGGGGGGGAGCTGGAGAATCAGACCAAAATTTGGGGAAGCCGGAGGAATGAGATCCAGATTTGGAAGGGGGTCCACATTTGGGGGGGCTCAGTGACTCTGGATTGCCGCTGGCAGGATCTGGCCTCTCAGACTGTCGGGGAGGGGGGGAGTCTCCCCAAAGGAGATTGTATGAGAGCCCGTGGAGCAACACATGGGGTTGCAGAGACAGACCCTCCCTGGAATGCAGCCCTAGAACGCGTGAGGATGCTGCAGCGTCGCTGCTGCCCAGCAGGGGGAGCCAACCCTTAAGAACCAAGCCGCAGATCTGGGGCTCAGGGGCTCAATCCAGAACGGTGCAGAGCACCCTTCACTCCCACTGGGAACCCGAAGCGGGAGGAAGTTACTACGGGGCAGGGAGAGGTGGAGGGATTCGAATACAATCAGATGGCAACGGCTTAGGAATTAGAGAGTCAGGACTCCTGGGTTCTATTCCTGGCTCTGGGAGGGGGGGGTGGGTCTGGTGGTTAGGGCGGGGGCGGGGGGAGCTGGGTGTCAGGACTCTTTGGGTCTATTCCCAGCTCTGGGAAGGGAGTGGGGTCTAGTAGTTAGGGCAGGGTGAAACGATTGGGATCCAGGACTCCTGGGTTCTCGTCCCAACTCTGACTCGGCTGAGTGCGCCTGGGCCAGTCACTCCCTGTCAATTTCCCCTCTGGACACCCAACGGAGCCAGTCCTGCTTCCCCCCAGGTGAGGGCCCGTGCCCTCCCCCCAACCCCTGCCATCGGGGGTCCTGCCTGGCTACTTACAATGCCTCTGCTGGTGGCCGAGCGCCAGGGACACGCCCTCTGGGGGCTGCCCTCGGAGTAGCCGTAGTCGAAGGTGGGGTAGTGCCCGGCGTTGGCCAGGTAGCCGGCCTGCTGGGCCTGGTAGATGTCGTTGCCGAAGCGGCGGGGCCCATTGTCCACGTAGCCGGGGGCCTCCTGGGGGCAGGCGCCGTAGCCGGAGAGGGGCAGGCCGGCCGAGTCGTACTGCCCGTAGGCGTAGCCGTTGTTGAGCTGCTGGTCGGCGTACCTGAGTGAGGGGTAGGACTCGGCCCGCTTGCCCAGCCGGTCCTGCCCGCTGACAAAGATGTCGTGATAGGCTCGCGAGATGGCGCCGATGGCCTCCTCCTCCTGGGCGTCGGGGCTGGGGGGCGCCTCCCCCTCGGGCCCCAGCCCCACGTCCATGGGGGCCTCGTTGAGGCTGTTCATGTAGCTCTGCATCTCGTCCAGCAGGCGCTGCTTCTCCCGCTTGGGGATGCGCCCGAAGCGCACCGCTGTGGGGGGGGGAGGGGGAGGAAGGAGAGAGAGTGTGAGCTGGGCAGGCACTAGGGGTGCACTCGTGAGCGCCCCCTACTGGGCGTAGAAAGCAACGGGGAGCGAGCCAGCAGCACTGGGGGGAGAGCCCCCCAGGGCCAGGCGGGAGGAGGTGGCACGAGGGGCTTGTCACCACCCGCAGTTCCCGTCGTGGCGCATGCAGCAGGGCCCCACTCGTGGCAGGTAGTAACAGTAATGGCCTGTTCTACATGGCCGCGCTGGCTGCTGCGCTCCACCCCAGAGCACGCTGCATCGCTGAGCTGCCTCCCACGATGCAGCTGTTTCCCTGTGTGTCTAGACTGGCACAGCTCCTGCCAGCTCCCTTTGCACTCCACACCCCCTACATAACCCCCCCATGCGCCCCTCCCACACCACTGGCTGATGTCTCCCTCCCCCCCCACAGGCACCTTTGCCTACCCCCCTTCTCCTGCCCAGATCACCCCCTGCCTGGCACGTCTCTGCTCCACTTCTCTCCGTAACTAGGTCAGTGGGTCAGGAGCAGCACCAAGGCCCATGGGAGACGCACAGAGGGGCTGGGGCGGGGGCAATCTACTGCTATAGGACCGTCCAGCACCTCTGCCTAGGCCGAGACGGGGGGAGGGAGAGAGTATGAGATTTTATCAAGGCTGCTCGAGACAGACAGACCGTGTGGCTCCCTCTGCTCCTGCCCGCTGGTCTCACCACCCAGGGGTTCCCCCAAGTCCCGACCTGAGGCCAAACGCAGGTTGGTGTTAATCAGGAGAGACTCACTAAAGTCAATGCGGCTGCGCTGGTGTCAGATCAGATCTCTGGCATGCAGCTACAAAGTCCTGGGTTCTATTCCTGGGTGGAGGACGGTAGTGGGGTGGTGGTTAGAGCAGTGGGGGCTGGGAGTCAGGACTCCTGGGTTCTATCCTCAGCTCTGAGAGCGGAGTGGGACTAGAAGGTTAGAGCAGGGGGAAGGGAAGTCAGGACTCCTGGGTTCTATTCCCACACTTGGTGAGTGATGTCTAATTGGGAAACGGGAGCCAGGACTCCTGGGTTCTATTCCCAGCCCTAAGAAGTGAGGATCTAGTGGGTGGGGGCAGGGGAAGGGAAGGGAGCCAGGACTTCTGGGTTCTCATACCAACTCCGATTTGCTATGCAAGACACTTGCCTGCTCCGTGCCTCAGTTTCCCCATCTGTTAAGTTGGGGAGAGTGATACTGCTCCACCTTTGCGAAGTGCTTGGAGACCTCTGGCTGATGATAACAAGTATCTTCCTTCTCCTCAGCCTCTGGTTCCTCCCCCACCTGTCCCCCTGAGGCCCGACAGCAGAATAACTCTGACCCAACAAAAGACTTTCCAGGGAGTGGATTTCCAGCCCTGCCTGTGCTGGGTGGGGAAGGGGTGTATCACAGGGGAGGGGGAGGAGCATCCCCAGGGATGCCCCGCTCCCCACACTGCGCCCCCGGCGGGTGTAGCACGGAGGGGCCCGATCCTGCACGGTAACATGGCAACGGAAGCAGGATCGGGCCCCTGTGCTGCAGCCTCATGCGAGGGGGCACGTGTGGGAGATGAAGGAGCCCCGTGCTGGGCAGGACACAGCCTGGTTCTCACGCCCACCCGGGGCTTTGTGGGGAGCAGCGTGCGGAGCGGGGGAGCGTCTGGAGGCTGACGCCTGCTCTGGGAGCTGCTGCCATAACCTGAGCTGGAGCGGGGGCTGCACATGGCAGCCGTGACCCAGAAACCTCCTTTCCCGCACACAGGATCCCGCTGCCCCCGCAAAGCCCCAGATGGGCCTGGAACTGGCAGGGCTTGTGGGGGGGAGAGCGCCCTGGGATTCCTTCCCTTCCCTCCCCCCTCCTCCATCCTTCTCCCGCACCCCCAACTCCCCATCCCTGTCCCTTTCCTCCCCAGTCTATACCACATCTCCCCCTATTCCCCCCGGCCCCTGTCCCTCTCTGCACCCCACCCCCCCGTTAACACAGCAGCTGTGAGCCTGGATAATGCTCGTGGGCCTTTCCTGCCCTACAGCCCCTGGGGCTTTGGGGAGCCCTTGAGGCTGCTGCTCAGTCCTGGGGTTTAGTTCCCTTCCTGATTCCCCCCACCTGCCCGTGAAGATCCGGCCCAAGGGAGGCGAGATCCCCGGACTGTTTGCTCACCCTTAGGATCTACTTTGTGTGCCCCTCCGCCCTGCGCTCTGGATCAGCGAGCGAGCTTTACCTGGCACAACGCGACAGGCGGGACCCAGGAGCCTGGCCCCTGCTGCCCCCACCCCCTGACTAGTGGTTGGACGGGTGTGTGGGACCCATGTATTTGGGTGTCGATGGTGCTGAGATCCAGGGAGCTGGTTCTCACATGTCCCTGTCCCAAACCAGCAAAGAGCCAGAACCATCGGGGCAGGGAGGAGGGAAGCCAGGGGAGGCAAAAGTCCCAGTGAAGAGGTCCAGGTGGGGAACCTCTGGTCCCAGTCCCAGTCCACCTCCCTGGTTCTGATTCTGGTCCCAGTCCCGACCCATCTCCACGGCTCGAGTTCCAGCCCTAATCACGGTCCGGCCCATCTCTGCAGTTCTGGTGCTGATCCATGGATCTGGGTGTGGTCCCAGCCCCAATCCTGATCCTTCTCCATGGTTCTGGTGCTGATCCAAGCCCACCTCCATAGATCTGGGTCCGGTCTCGGCCCATCTCCAGGTCTCTCTGCCACCCCCTCACACCGCACCCCTCCCCTCCCCGGCCATTCTTAGCACGCTAATGCTGACGAGCCATTTCAAAGTCTAACAAATCCATCATGAGCGGATGGGAGAAGCTCGAGCCGTTCATCACAGCCTGGCCCTGGCATCCCCCCACACCATTGCCCCCCCCACCCACATCCGTGCTCAGAGCCATAAATCAGCCCCCAGCACAGAGCTCCCATTTATCAGCTGGGGCAGCTGCTGACTGGACAGAGTAGGAGGGCCTCAGGGGGATGTGGGGTCCCGCCGCAGGGGGGCAGGGCACCAGCCTTTCGCCCCAAGCCGCCTCCCCCATCCCCAGCTAAATTCCTATGTGGGTCTCCTGGGGAAAGGGAGGTTTGGTGGCAGATCAGAAACAGTCAGCACAGTTCAGACAGTCTGCACAAGAGAGAACCAGGGCCGGGATAGGAGGGCGGGGGGCTGTGGGTCGGGATTGAGGGGCACTGGCAGAGGGGGCGTGGGGGGAGCCCAGGACTGGGATAACAGGTGGGGCTGTGGGTCGGGATTGAGGGGCACTGGCAGAGGGGGTGTGGGGGGAGCCCAGGGCTGGGATAACAGGTGGGGCTGTGGGTCGGGATTGAGGGGCACTGGCAGGGAGCAGGCTGGTGGCAGACGTGACGCTGGCCGTGCCCAAGGGCAGACCAGGCTGGGGGAGGAGTGGGGGTGGGGGCGGGAGGCCGGGATCCCTGCGCTCACCGTCGCGGGACATGCCGACGGCGAGGCACTTCTTGAAGCGGCAGTGCTGGCAGCGGTTGCGGTTCATGCGCATGATCATGCAGTTCTCGTTCTTCACGCACATCTTGTAGTTGATGTTCTGCTGGATGCTGCGCCGGAAGAAGCCCTGGAGGGGGCCAACAGGGCGAGGAGTCAGCGCCAGGCAAACCCTGCCCCATCTGTGCCCCCCCCAGCCTGCCCCGCTCTGCCCGCCAGCCCCCTGCCCACTCAGCCTGGGGGGCTGTTTGTCCTGGCAATGAGCTCCCCTCGGAGCTGGGTCGCCCCGGGAAACGGCACCACGGTGACGCCGCGGCTTGCTAGGAGGCTCCTTGCCTCAACTCGGTCCCCGGCCGCCCCGAAGCCCCGCCCCTGGCCCCGCCTCCTCACCTTGCAGCCCTCGCAGGCGTGGACACCATAGTGGAAGCCGGAGGCGATGTCCCCGCACACCTTGCACAACAGCACCATCCCGCCCGTCTCTGCAAGGAGGGGTGGGGGTGAGCATCACACTCGTTCGGTCCCCTCCTGCCCACCCCACTGCAGCCCCCCCAACAGAGAGGGAAGGGCCGACCGATAGGAGCGCCACCCCCTCCCTCCAACCATCTGCCCAGCCCCAGGGTCCCACCTGCCCCCCGAAGATGCATCCCCCTCCCCACTACTGCCCAGACTCAATAACTAGCCGCTTGGAGATGCCCATTTCCAGCCAGACTAGGTTGCCAGCCCCACAGGACTGCGGACCCCCCAAAGAGGGGGTGCATGGTCCCAGCTGTGTGTCAGGTTGGCCCCTTGTGGCTTCATGTGAGAGTACCCTACCTCCCAATATTCCTGTTGCTTTGGATGGTCTAGCGGTTAGAGCAGGGGGGCTGGGAGTCAGGACTCCTGGGTTCTATCCACAGCTCTGAGAGAGGAGTGGTGTCTAGTGGTTAGAGCAGAAGGGCTGGGAGTCAGGACTCCTGGGTTCTACTGCTGAGTTGCTGTCCCTTCCCCTCTTGGTGCCTCAGTTTCCCCAGCTGGAGCAGGGGGATGATGACAGAGCTGCGCCCTGGTCACTCACTAGTGAAGGTGCCGGTCATGCCGTTCTGCTTGGCCGTGGCAACTCTGCTCTGGGTGGGGGGCGACTGGCCCTTGCTGGGGTACCTGACCCCCTCCGGGAACTGGAAGGCCACCTTAGGCGAGGATGGCGAGCTGGAGCCCTGCGGCTTGATGGCCCCAATCTCGGTCAGCGTCAGCTCCTCCAGCGACGAGGGCAGGGAATGCTGTGGGGAGGGCACCAGGTAGCCGCCGGGTGGGCTGCCCGGGGTAGGGCTGGAGCCAGCCGTGGAGCCCACGTAGAGGATCACGCCGCCTGGGGGAGAAAGAGCAGTGGGAGGGGAGGTCAGATGAGGAATCTTGGCTTGAGTCCTGCTGCAGAAAACAGCTGGAAGCAACAGCTGGGATAGAGGGTGCTCAGGGTCTGCGGCCTCCTGTAGGGGCAGGGGAGCTGCGTATTGGGGACCCAGGCTGGCATCCATCCCCCAGGGCTCTGGCCTGCCAGGGTTTAATACGATCGGGGCAGGGTTGGATGTTTGGGATGGGGATGGGGGAGTGATCTTGGGGTTCCTGGGGGAACAAAAGAACAGGGGGCAGGGCAAAGGAAAGGGGAGGATGAAAATTGAAAGACATGGAGACACAGGGCAGGGCGAAATCTGTGCAACTGATGAACCCCATCACCCGCGGCAGGGCGGATGCAGCCTCCGAAGCCTTGCACAGACTCAGGGTCGCTTCCCTTCCCCTGGCCATAGACAGCTGGAGGGGACGGGACCAGGGAGCGGCTACAGCCCACCTTGCTGGGAGACGAGGAGATCGGAGTCCCCTGGAGCCATCCCAGTGTCTCACGTGGAGCTGCAGCGTGGGAGGGGGGGAGGAACACAGTGTCAGCCTGTGTACGCACGCACACACACACGTACACACACACACACACACACAGCCGCCGGGCAGCCCTGAGACGAGGCTGCGGGGAATGTGGGGCAGTGAGGCACGTGCTGCAGAAAGTAGGGCAAACAAACAGAGGACAAAATGCAAACCCGGATCATCCCGCTGGGAGCTGGCCCAGGGTCCGCGGGTACGGCAGGGGTCATGCCAAGATTCCCAGGGACGCCTGGCGTGCGGAGCTGCCCTGGTTGGGGGGGCGCCAGCTGCCTAAATTCCATCTCCCCGCAGGCCCAGTTCTGAGCGAGAGCTTTGAGCCAAATCCAGGTCGTACACTGACTCACCCTCTGTCCATGCCCCTCAGTCCCCACCCGCAAGCCCCCTCCCGCCATCCCAGTTCTGCCTTTTCCATTAGCAGAGGCCCCTCCACCCTCAGTCACAGCAAACTGTGTGAAGATTTTGTGGCGGGAGCCCACGGAGGCGGGGAGGAGACCTCGCCCCCTTGCGCACGTGGGCACCCACACGCACGCACGTTCCTGGTGACCTATATCAGGAAAAGAGCTGCTCTTCTGACTCAAAGATCTTAGCTCATTATTATTACCTGCAAGCGGCAGGAACCGGTTCTTCCACAGTAGGAACCGGCATACATTCCCCTCCGCGATAGCCCAGGGCGTTTAAACCCACCAGCACCCAAAATAAGCACTTCCCCCCTTGGCATTTTCTGGAGTTGAGCCTGATTTTAAGAAGGCCCGATCCGGTCTTTTAACCCGGCAGGCGCTGCCCGGACTCAACCCCCGCTGCCCAAATTCCAGCTCAGAGCAAATACTTGTAGCCGAGCCCCTCTCCTGCTGTCTGCTCCCTGAAAATTATGGGGTGAAACTCAGATGCGGGATGGGAGGAGGCGCTAGGCCTCCTCCCATCCCTTTCCTGCCATCAGCTCCATTCGGCCTGGGGGGCAGAGAGAGATCGGGCTGCAGTCGGGGTCATGCCCCCGGGGAGCTGTGTGCCCTAGCGCCCCAGGGTAACACAGCCTCTTTCTCTCCCCCAGCTCAGTCTGCCAGTGCCCACCACTGCAAAACAAGACTCCAGCCCAGTACCTTTGGTAGCCACTGCTGGGTTCTGTCTGGGTACCAGACCCGGCCAGGGCGTCCTCACTAGATCCTAAAGCAGGTAGATCCTGCCCCCTGAATGAGCCCCCTGCCCTCGGTGAGGAATACTCACCAGGCTAGGGGCTCGCCCAGGCGGGCATGGCACCATGCCCTCTCTGTGCAAGAGCCCCTCTGCCTCCCATTGTGGCCCACCCCCACCTAAGCACGGGTGCCATGCTCCATTTCCACCCAGCCCTGTTCTTAGACAGTTCCCCAGACCAAAGGTTCGTCTCCAGCCCACTGCCCCGCCCCTGGGTTCCCCAGCTCCCAGGGCAGGAGAGTCCCATCAAATTCTCTGCCCGCAGGGCTCAGTGTGTGGAAAGTGCAGGCAGCCTGGCAATAGTTATCTCCTAGCCTGACACCCACAGCGCCCCCTGCTAGGAGGGGCTAGACTGGAGTACCCAGGAGCTCCCCCCCAGCCAGCGCTCCTGCCCCGCTCCCCACAGCGCCCCCACTGGGAGGGCCTGGACTGGAGTAGCCCAGTGCAATTTTTAATCCCCCCCCTTCCTCATGTACAGTTGATTAAAATCCAAGCTGGCAGCAGAAATGAGAGGATTGTCACCCGTCTATCTAGCTAACAGAGGGACAGACAGACAGAGAGGATGTCTGGGATGCAGACACACCCCTACGTCCCACTTTGCATGCTGGAGTTTGCAGCGGGAAGGAGAGAAAGCATGACAGGGGGGCAGAAGGGGGCACGATGGGGTCAGGGGTAGGAGTGGGCACAACAGGAGGGAGGCAGAAGGGGTCAGGATGGGGGACAGGAGGCAGAAGGGGGCATGGTCGGGGCAGAGGGTAGGAGAGGGCACAACGGGGGTCAGGGGGCACAAGGGAGGGGAAGGGTTAGGAGAGGGCATGCCGGGGGGGCACAAGGGAAGGGCAGGGGGCACAAGGGAGGGGCAGGAGAGGGCACGCTGGGGGGCGGGGGGCACAAGGGAGGGACAGGGTTAGGAGAGGGCACAACAGGGGGCACAAGGGAGGGTCAGGGGTAGGAGAGGGCATGCCGGGGGGCACAAGGAAGGGGCAGGGGGTATGAGAGGGCACAACGGGGGACGGGGGTGCACAAGGGAGGGGCAGGGGCAGGAGCAGGAGAGGGCACGCCGGGGGGCCGGGTGCACAAGGGAGGGGTGGGGCAGGAGAGGGCACGCCGGGGGGCGGGGGGCACAAGGGAGGGGCAGGGCGCACGCCGGGGGGGGGGGGGAGGCGACGCCGCGGCCCCAGGGGGGGGGGGGGGCCCCCCCCCCCCCCCCCCCCCCCCGCCGCACCACCCACAATCAGGTCACGGCGCGCACGTGTCCGCCCGGGGCGCGGAGCCGGGAACAGCAGCGGGCGGGCGCCGCGCCAGCCCCGGGGACACCTGACCGGCTGCTCACATGGCTGCGGCGGCCCGGCGCGCTCGGGGGAGGGATGCGATCGCTCCGGCTCGGTGCAATGCGATGGGGGGCACCCAAAGCTGCCTCCTTCGGACGCCCCTCACCCCCGAATGGGGGGAGGGGGATTAGCAGCAAAAGTGCCCGTGTGCAAAGGGGACGGGCGGACAGACCGACCGGGGGCTGCATCTCAAAGCTACCCGCCCCCCCTCCCATTGTGCCGAGAGAGGGAAGGGAATAGAACCCAGGAGTCCTGGCTGCCAGCCCCCTCCCCCAACCACTAGACCCCACTCCCCTCCTGGAGCTCTGAACTGAACCCAGGCATCCTGGCTGCCCTTTGTCTGCCCTAACCACTACCCCTACTCCCAGAACTGTGAACAGAACCCAGGAGTCCTGGCTCCCAGACCTTCCCCCTTTCGCCCCCCACACGCTAATCACTAGTCCCCACTCCCCTCCCAGTTCTGGGACCAGAACCCAGATGTCCATTCCCAGACAGGAGGGGGAAATGAACAGCTCTTAAAAAAACAAACAAACAAAAAACCCTTTAGGCTTTCTAGTGGCACTAATGCAAACAGTTGGGGGTGGAGGGCAGGTCTGCCCCCACACCGCAGTGCCAGGGGTTAACCATTACCATGCTGGGGTTTTGCATCCAGGCAAATGCTCCTGACCACGCCTGGCCCTGACATTCATCCAAAATCTTGAAAACGCTTTAAACATTTATTTTTGAGCAAGGTGTACATTCCCCTGCTCCCCTTCGGCTCGGGTCTGTCCGTCGCTGGGTGCCAAGGCCCGGCAGTGGGTCCAGTCTATGTCTGGGCGAGGGACAGAAGCTGGGACCGTTAGCCTGCTGGAGTTAACTCCTTCTGCAAAGCCGGGCGGTGGGTTTCTTACATCTTAAAGCCAACTGCTGGGTTTGACTCCAGACCCAGCTGCTGGGGTTCAGCTTCGGGTCTGGAACCAGAACCAGCCGTCGGGTTCTGAGTTTGGCTCTGGATCCAGGCTGGGACGCAGATGTTGGGTTCTGGGATTAGATCTGGACCCAGCGGCTCCGTTTGGGGTTCCATGCTGCCCCGAGGACTCTCTCCAGGGCTTTTTCTAAGGCCGGGCACTCCCAACAGGCAGGGCCGTAGCAACAAAGAACGTGGCCCCCTCCGAACGGTGGCCCCCTCCGAACGTATGTCCGGGCGGGGCCCCTTACAATGCAGAAACTGGAATGCGGTATTTATTTTGCCACTTTTAGGGGCCCCCTTCCTTGCGGGGCCCCCTCCGGTCGGAGGGTACGGAGGGCGCTCGCTATGCCTCTGCCAACAGGGGAGCTGCTGGTGTGTGCCAGGGTTTGGAAGTGTTAATGGGGGGGACTGCTAGGGCCCATCGGCTGCTGGGTACCCTGGACTCGTCTGATGGCCTTTAACAGAACGGGGCTGTCCCATTGCGGGGGCACCCTCCCCCCGACAGGGCCTTGCTGTTGCAGCCGGCTGATCAGCAAATAGCCCCACGCCTGGTGCTTCCTGCTTCCCTATCATGGCCCCTTCCAAAGGGGGTTAGAGCCCCACAACGCACAAGCAGCCTATAATTCAGCTGTCTCCCCCTGGCTCGGTCTGGATTCGACAACCCTGGATCTGAACTCGCCCCAGTGGCTTGGGTTCGAGGTCCGATACAGACGGGGGCCTGCTTTCCTGTTTGGATGCTGCCGGCATCTTACAGGAACGGTGGTTGGGCAGGGGATGTTGGGGGATCGGGATCCCCAAAGGGCAGATTGCAATACTGCATATCCCACACTCCTGGCCCCATCCAACTGCAGGACCTTACACTGCGGGATCCCAAACCAGACACTGACCCAGTCCTGCAACCCACAACTCCTGTTGATTTCAAGCGCTGGGAATGCAGGGGAAGCCCCCAATGGCACATCCCCCCCCTTCAGATTTAGATCCATTTCCCCTTAGACTCCTCAGTCAATTTCTCTTTGATAAATGAGCCACTATTCACATTAGCATAGCATGTCGAGACCCCAGTGGAGATCAGGGCCCTGTTGTGCTGGGCGCTGCACGGACAGAGTGAGGGGCTCCCTGCCCCCCAAAGTGCCCAGTCTAAATAGACAAAGAGTGGCAGAGGAAACAGATGCCGAGAGGAAGTGACTTGCCCAAGGTCACCCAGGCGGGCAGTGGCAGAGCTGAAGAAGAGCCCAGCTGTCCTGAGGCCTAGCTCAGTATTCTAGCCATGGACACCAGGGCCTCTCAGTTTCCCCGTCTCTGTTTCGCTGCAGCCATTTCCAGCCCGGTTGGCACCTGCCGCCCCAGAGTGGCGATTAGCACAATGGCCTTGCTGACTCGACAATCCGACACGGGGACCCGCTGCTTTCGGAAAAGGGGCGTCGGGGAAAATAAATTAAAAAAAAAACAACCATCACCACCAGGGGACTGATTTCAGCCGAGCTAC